AATGTTTGCTTCCCCACATGCGAAGGAGGACTTGGGATTAGGCATTTGGAGGATATTGAAGCTGCTTATTCGTCAAAAATCTGGTGGAAGATCAGAAATTCAGAAGGGATATGGGGAAAATATATGAGAAGCAAATACCGGCCAGATTCATTTCATGAATACCACACAGACACTGTCACCTGGAAAAGAGCAGCCCGTATACACAACTGGGCTCTTGAGCATGTTCATACCATCTTTGGGACAAAAATGTGGGAGGGGAATCCATTCTCCTTCAAGCTTGCTTATAACTCTTGGAGGGAAGCTAAGCCCTCCTCTCTCTTGTGCAAAATGGCCTGGTCAAAACTTCAAATCCCTAAAATCAGATTGTTCCTATGGAAAGCTCTTCACAATCTCCTGCCTTTCCCAGACAACCTAGCCAGATTCAACATTGCCATTCCCTCTAGATGTAACTTCTGCCACAATGGTCCCCAAAACTTGAACCACACTCTTTACCAGTGCAGGCTCTCACAAAAGATTTGGAGGTTTTTTTCCACCCTATTTGACGGGCCTGTCATTCAAAGGGGGACACCATCCACGACGTATGCATGAACTGGTGGCTTGGTACGTGCAGAATAAAACTTATGGACAAAATCCACTCTATACTCCCAGGGATGATTGCATGGGGACTATGGAAAGCTTATAATGCTGAAATCTACGAACGGAAGGCCTTCAACGAATGCTCCATCATCACCTCAACCATGAAGACTATACAAGAGTGGATTTGGACTCACAAAGACAAAAAATGGATGATCCTTGATGACAATCTCAAATCTTTGGGTCTTCGTTCCAACCTACGCAAGCCTTCTATCTTGTTTATGTAATACATTTTGTTGTTCTTTTTCGGTGGGCAGAACCCTTCTCCCACATTGCTGTAATTGCTTCTTTTATCCATTATGCAATAAAATTTTATTATTTAAATATATATATATATATATATGTATATATATATATATATATATATATATAAAGATTTTGGATGCCATCACTTGTGTTCTTGATGATAAAACACAGGTCCCTGAGCAAGTCACTCGTCTTGAGCAACAACATTTCTCACGCTCCTACCGTGGCCCTTGGCATAGCACGTCTAATTGATCACGTGCATGTTTTCCCTTATCCCTTAATGATTAATTTTTTTTATTTTTAGTTCCCTTTAATGGTGCATAATGACTTTTTTTGATATGATGTGTGATATTGAATGTTTATGTTGCCTTGGGATCTTTATGATATGTATGGTTTGGTTTGGCAATATTGTTCCTTAAATCATATTGTCCTTTTGGTATATATGGCATTAGTTCCTCTTTTAAAGGAAACTATTGCAAAATTTTTGGAGGATTCTCTTTTTCTTTCATATCCTCTTTTTCTAAACCTTGCATGGTGTGAGAGGGAAGCTCTCTATTGATAAAGTCAAAAGGGGGGAAGGGTAGTTGAGAAATGTTTCCACTATTTTCACTGATAATCTCGCTTTCTTTTGTGAAGGGGGGATTCATTCTAAAAGGGAAGTATTTCTTGATCTCCTTAGTTTTTCTCAACTATGGTTTGTCGATCTTAAAAAGGGAGAAATTGTTGGACATGAGTTCAAACCCCTTTAGATATTTTCTTTGTGTTGTTATTTTAAGGTTTTGATAAATGACAAACACATTGACAATGAGTTTTTCTTAAATCAAGAAAGCAAACAAGTATATCAAGATATATAAGTTGTTTGACCAGCGTTCCATCCCAACGCATTTTTGAAGTGAGGTGAAGATTTCTCAAGACTTTTTATTTTACTTGAATCTTAGGAAATATTGTAAGGATGACAAAATATTTTACTCAAACAAATTATTTTTTAGGGTAATAGATAAAAATTATTATTCTTTTTTAGTCGGTTGAAAAATAAAATTTTCTCTATTTAAAAATATCTCTTTTGAGTCAGTTACAAAAAGTGTACCAAGTTTTCTTTAAAATATTATTTTTTAAGATATACAAAATTTTTGGATAAGAAAAATATCTTTTAAAATATTCTTCATGTACATCATTTGACACACAATATTTTTGGGTCTCATCTATAAACCCAAAATATCATTTCATCATTCAAATGAATTTGAATGTTATTGAGTTGATGGGGAGCCTATTTTACATGCTCTTATGTTTGAAACAATAAGAATTTGATAAACACTCTTTATCCCCTCCCACATGGTTGTGTTCTTGCTGTTTGTGCATTATTCGCGTCAAAAATCATATATCTCTTCTTTGCAAAAATCAATTTTTAATTCATGCGCAGAAGGGTTTCGTCCCATGCGTCAAAAACCGGTTTTTCACTCTTTGGAAAAAAATGATTATCTCCTTCCGCCTAGAAGGATTTTTACACAGACTTGTTTAATCATTTTTTCCATTATGCAAAAATCGATTTTTTGTCCGTGGCACTACTTCAAAGTCTTATATTTTGCCCCAACGGGCATATTTCTTCTACATCTATATAAACCCACTTTCACCTTCATTTTACACATAAAATTGAAGCACTCTAAACACTCCTTTGATTATATATCTCTTGCTCTATCTTCATCTTCCTAAAAGATCAATATTTTTGAGAGTCTAGATATTTTTTCTTGAGTGAAAATACTTTGTCATCCATTAGAGCTTACATATTTAAACACTACTTGCTCATTATGTAAGCTTTTCATTCTTGTGGTGTTGAGAACTCAAATTTCCCTTGAGTTTGAGGTTGCTAAGACTTCTGCTACTCAAGCCTTGTTTGTAAGTGTTGAGGCTTGTGGGATTCAACTTTTGAAGTTGTAAAAGGTTTTTCATGCACCCGTTGAAGCTTGAAGATTAGTAGGAATTTGGAGAGAGTCTCTCAAAGGACTAGACTAGCCACGAGGTGCTGAACCAGTATACATCGTGGTATACTTTTTCCTCTCTACTCTTTACTTTATTCTTGAGATTTACACCTTATTTTATCACACAAAAAAAACGGTCATTCTAGAACACATCCCTATTCATCCCCCTCCAGAGTTGCATTCCTTGTATAACAAAAAACCTCTCCCCACCCAACCTGTTTATATATGGAGTAGTTTACGAAATTATACAGATAGAGTAGTGCTGCAAAAACAAAAAAAGATGGGTGATTCGTGAACATCTAACTCTAGATTATTCGTATAGGTTTGAAATTCACATTCTTAATCTCGTATGATTAATTGGGTGATCTATTTGATTAGAATTTGAATTATGACTTATTATAAATAAATGATGTTATTGAAATGGATTGATTGAGAAAGGCTAGATACACTCTCTTACTCAAATTTGTGTGGTTTGTGTGTCAATAACCTTTTAAAACATTAGATGTGTTGAAGGGGTTGGAATTGCATCAAACTCTCATGTTTTTGTGCTTTCCCAGCATCGGACGGTAGCTAGGTCCCACCTAACGATACCCGGCTACCGCCTCAAGCCAATTTTCTATGGCGGTAATTGTACCTGGAAAGTCAGGGGTACCAAACTTACGGTACCAAGGTGCTGAAATAAGTACCTTGTTAGACCCCCAGCCGCCCTTTCTTTTGTTTGTTTGTTCCAATTCATGTCAGGGATTGATTCTGAGACCTTATGTATTACATGACGGTAGGTGGAAGGTATTTACACCCGACATTAAGCCACTATTTGTATTATATTGTATATTATCTAATTATTGTTGTTCTCTTATTATATTTTAAATATAATCTTGTTATGCCTTGAACAAATAAAGTAAATTGAGTTGTTGGTAGTCTGAACCTGATTATTTTAAATAGATTTAATGACATAGGTTACCTAGAAGAACTCTAGGAGTAATTTGTGAGAATTGAGATTGTAGGTTCACAATAGGTTGTAAGCCTTGTGGACTTAGTGTCCAGTGACATTCAGGTATATATGTACGTACATGAAATCTGGATCTAATCCGTATGATTGGAGGTTCCACCCAACCGGTGTCGTAGGTACCGGGTTTACAAGAATCATGGCCATAGGTAGTGGTTCTGATGTCATATATTAGATTTGAGTCATGGTCGTAGGTAATGTCTCTAAGTCCTAAGATAAGATTGTAAATAATGAAGAATTGGTCTTAGCCTAGAATAGGTTATGATCTAGTGTTTGGTATGAGCTATTGTAATAACTTAAATACTTAGTTAATAACATATGGAAGTGAAGAACCAAGGTAAGTAACATGAAGTATAATTGTTATAAAATGGTTGATATTATTTGATGATTGTTGTGTGATATTATTAGTGTTATACTTGTGTGAATGATATTGTATGAAATTATGAGTTAAAGAGTTCGTCTATATGCCTAGTAGAACGTTATATATTACTCACTTAGCACCAATGTTGAGTGTGTAGCGTTTGTTCTCTTGCTACACGTAGGTAATGAGAATGACGATTAAGGAAACAATCTTCAAGGGCAGCGACAGTGAAGAGATGGATGGATGCCGATTGAAGGAGTTTACTTAATTAAATATATGATTTGAATTAATTATGTTTTCGGACGAGAACCTCAAGTTGTGTTTGAATTAAGTACTTAAAGCTTCTGCACCATTTTTTATTTAACACCAATGGATGTTTTAAATATTATTTTGAATTAAATGTTTTTAAATTGTTTGAAAATTATTGTGTTTGGATGCCAAATTAAGTGACAACCCAATCCATTGGTCCGTGTATCCAGGTCACGGGTCGGGGTGTTATGAAATACCAGCCCAGCTAGCCCAAGTCCCATAAGATAAATACGAAGTATTATCCTCTCTTCGGCATCACCTCTCAACCTTACATGAGTGGCGCCCCAGAACATTTGTCCTCGCTAAATCATCTATGGACAAATCTTTTTTGGTGTTATCTTGAGATTATGTCATTTACGGAGTTGGCTAAAGATTCTTTGGAGAAATAGTACATGTCGACATTCTGAAGACAACAAGTGAAGCTACAGTGAAGAGAGGTTGCGGAAAGGAAGAACGTTTGGGCTGAGGCTGTTCAAACTCACCTCCGAGTTGGAATGAAGAGTATATCCTACTAGAGTAGTATGTTTGGTTTACTTTTTATTTTCTTGTTACCATATTTGTTATATTAGGAGTTTATAGTCACGCATCATTACATTCAAGAAACAACCACTGCAATCAGATATATGCAACATTGATGCAAGAAATATCCCATGTCTATTTGTTTGTATAATAGAAAATATTTCCAGTGATGAATAATTTTTTGAATGAAAGAACATTTTAAACAATGACTTCGGCAATATATTTTTCTTTTTATGATGTAAGAACATATTGAACAAGGAGAATTAAAAATACAAAAAGTATAATAAATTTTGTGTTTAAATCCTATCATGAACTCAAAACACAAAAAGTTCATCTTCACAATCCTTTTATAATCATTTTGTTTTTTATTAATGATTTTGGATATTCGATTGATTCGGATATTGGATCAGATACGGATATGTAATCAGATTTGGATATATCTGAAACCAGGAAATATTTGTCGGATTTGGGTTTAGGTATAAAAATGTAAATATTCTTCAGATACGGATATGGATTTTGATATCCTAAAACTTAATCAAATTCGGATTTGAGTATGCCATGATATTATCCGTTTACAGCCCTAAACTCAGGAAGACCAACATTAGTAAATAATATAGGTTCAATTCTTACATTCTTCTCATCAAACTACCGTACCTCAACTCTAGCGACCATCAAGTCTCGGGCCAACTTTTTCAAGAAAGTGGCAAAATCTCCATGCACATTCCGCCCCATGATGTAATTACATCTATGGTGCCTTTTTGACGTCCCTCGGGGTTTCTTACTTTCATCTTCTTCTATGCTATCTAACCCAAAGTGCCACTTGTTTTCGAATGACACAGGTTCAACATGAGAGAATTCACGTTTCAAAACCCGGTCTCCTCCTAGATTATACTTTTCTTCCCCTGTCCGGACAAATCGCCACAAGTGACCTCCTTGCATAGCTTCTCCTGCTCATTCCTTAATGTGTAGCGATAGTCGTTGGTGTTGTGATCATTCTTATGAAGATAATGGAACCTTTTCCTAAGTTCCCAATTGGGTATGCGACTAATTTACTCTTCCCCTCATAATCGAGTATCTCGCCAACATGGTGCATAAAAGTTGGGGTTAGTTTCTAAAGGTTCGGTTGCGTACTCTGTCCCCCCTTTGGACCATCAAGAAATCTCTTTTCCTTATTCTTTACCCTTCTTCTTAGAGCTGGCATCACATTTTGATGTCTCAGAAGTTTCCTCTTGCTCCTCATTCATTTCTTCCAAGGTCACATATCTGTTTTCCCTAGCCATGGCTTCCTCGAAGAAATCTGCTAGATGGGTTGTTAGGTCGACACGGAATGGACCTTTAAGGAGGGAGGTGGAGAACATTTCTATGCGGGAATTGTCGTTGGCTCCTTCAACATATCGGGACACTTTCCTCCATCTAGTAATGAGTTCCTTCAGAGATTCACCCTTCGTCGACCTTACGGAGGTTAGGTGGGTGAAATGCTTTTTCGATCGCATAACCTGCATGTTGTTATAGTAGCACCTCCAGTGCTCCTCTAGGTCAGTCTTCAATTGTACTTCTTCATACACAAAAACTTAAATCCCACTGGATATGGGAAGGCTATCACCCTTCTCGAGAAAGGGTCTCCTTTGGTAAACCTAGCTTGCGGCCCTTCGGAGCATGCACCTTCAACAATAACTTCTTAATTCTTTCACGGAGGTCCCGAATCTCATCTGAACTTTCTTTGGGCTCTCTAGTGAGATTCCCTACTCTTGGGGCATGATGGGTTACCTGTGCTTCATCGTCCCTTCTTCGGGTGCCAATCCCCTGCATAAAGGATTCGGCCCTGCTGCGAGTACCTTGACTAGGAAACAAAATTACCATCTGGTTCCTCGCTAACCTCTCCTTAAGCAAAACCTGGATCCTCTTAAAGACCTTGTTACCTCGGACCGTCATCTCTATGTCACGCACCTAGAAAAGGTCTCGGGTAAAAGGGACACAGAACTTACTTGCCACAGGTTTGCCTTGTGCCTTTGCCTTTCTTTTGCTCTCAGCGTTGGGCAAGGAGCTTTGCATCGAAAGGCAGATCCAAGTCTTGGGATAAAAGTAGCAGCAATAAACTAGACAAGTTGGCATCTTGGAGCAAACAATGTAACACCCTGAACCACGTAACCGAATACAAGGACCAGCGGATGGGCTTATCACTAGATCGGTATCCAAACGCATCTTATTTCAAAACAACTTAAACCTTTTAACTTAAAAAATTATTTAAATATCCATTCGAGTAATATAAAATAGTGCGGAAGCTTAAATACTTAATTCAAAACACAACTTTGGGTTCTCTCCCGAAAAACGTAACAAATTCAAACTGAAATTTTAAGTAATTAAATAAACTTCTCAACCAGCATCCATCCATCTCTTTACCCTGGCTACCTTCAAGGATTGTTTTCCTTATTTTTCATTCCTCTTTAAACTACTCTCTGAACTTCACGCTTAGTTAGAGGTTCTAACAGTAAGTCGCACAGATGATTATTTCAAAATACATAATCACTCATAGCATTCCATGCAACACATACTATCACATAACAACATCAAGTGTTGCTAGTAATATCAAGAAATTCATAATCTAACCTTGTTACTTGGATTACCAAATTTACTTTGTCCTTAACTTAGACATTTTTGCCACGTAATCTATATGCAAAGTTCATAGCCAATCTTTCTTAATACTAAGCTCATAACCAACCCTAGGCTAAAGCCATTTCATAATTCTTCCTAGACACCTGATTCAACCACATCCATGGAAAAACCAGCTCAATATGACGTCATCCAACGTCAGCAAGATAGGACCACCTACTCACATCCATATATACATCTTAGACCCCGTGCACACTTTACCAAACTGATCATGCATGCACAGTGGCTCATCACATGACTAGTAACTTCTAACTATATTCTTATTCTTTTTCTTGGTGTACCTACAATTCAGCTAGGTGGCCTATCCGTATCCACGTTTATATTTTCATATTCTCAAACCCATACATGTTAATAGTCAACTTCAGAAGCATACATATTTAACAATTAGAGACCTAGTGTCGAGTATAAACACCTTACACATACCCTCATACTTGAATCGGAACAAACAAAACAAGAAAAGGGTTGTTCAGCACTTGGTACGGTACCTTAGTATCGTCTAACGGTACTTCAGTACCGACCAAAGCTTCGGATAGCAACTTCAAAGTGTTGTGACGGTAGTCGCCTACTGCTAGGCGATAGGGCGCTACCACCACCCTTCAGAAATTGTAGAGAACAGTTCTAGATCTTTAGCTCAAACCATAACCCAAAACAAAATATTCCTAAATACACTTAACCCACAAACAACCATAATCGAATTGAATACAAAATCGTCCCTGGCCTTCATGGGTCAACCTATTTTAGAAACCAATAAGATCACACAATATATTCACATTTCACATAAACGAATCTACAATTGGCTATGTATACGAATTAACGCTATCTATGAATTCTATACTAGAACAAGCCCATGAACCCACCTCGATTGATTTGAAAAATTAAACAGATCAAACAAATCAACGAACGAAGAAGATGGTGACAAACTGCGACATCACAGCGGCACTGACAATCGATGGATAGCGGCAATAACACCGGTTAGTTTCTCCGGCAATCGGATGGCGGTGGAATTCTTCTTATCCTTCCTTCTCGCGATCGCAGACACTCCATGTATAACTTTATAATAACTCTATGTTGCTTGGCTCTTTTTGTTTTTCCTTTTTTCGATTCATGCGTGTAGATATAGGTATATATAAATTCGGG